ATTTTTGTGTTTTTCATTCAACAAATCAAAGATTCTTAGTTTAGCACCATCTTAAAAACAATTGTCTCCTCCCCCAGCTGCTTGTTCACTATAAAGAGTTGCATAATCCTATTACATTAGAAACATTATAGTGAGGTCCCATTTTCTATACATGTTTGTTTTTGGCAAACAGTAAAGAGGTCTGAGCTGAGTATATGTTGCAATGGACAGTGGTTCCCACAACACCAAAAATACCCATATAGCATTTCTTTAAGAAAGTATTCTGATGGCTATAATATCTTAGCAGTGATCAACAATGTTTACATCTCTAATAAAATGTATAAGCAACTGATTGTCTCAAAGAACTGTTTCAACTATCTTATCTGAAGATAAATTCAAATCTAATCAATGTTTTCCTTAAATACTATCAGCAAAAGTATTGCATATTTTCCATATCTATTTTATTCACAATTATAGCTTTAGCAGTTATAATACTCCTTTATTATAAAAATTTATTATATATTAAATAGTTGCAATGTATCATAAGTGTGACAAATGTTTAATCTATATTTTAAATAATCAATATTAATATGAGGGTACTCTTTTAATCCTCATATTACAGAGAAGGACATTGTGGCTTAGAAAATATAATAATGTCCTTTTACAATCCATAATACTTGGTAGGAAGTCAGTCTGGAACTTCAGTCTAGTTACTGTCTACCTCAAAATTCTGTTTTTTAAATCACTGAACTATACTAAACCCTCTAAAGCCAGGATTATACTTCTTTCCTTTATTAAAATTATTATCAGCTGCTCATTTTCCACTGAATCTTACAAATAGAAACATAGGAATAGTCCTCCACTGCTCTTCCCTATTTCTTACATAAAAACAAAGCACATGGTTTGCAGATTTTGTCTCCTAAGTAATCAGTCAAATCCATCTTTTTTTCCCCCGTTCATTCTGTCATTTATTTATCCCAGCCTTTATTATCTACTGCCTGCACTGTTACAATACCCTCTCGGTTGACCTCCCTGTCTTATACCTCATTTTCTATCTCTATGTACACTCACTTATCCCCATACACTACAGCCAGTGTACACCTAAATTGCATGTCTGACCACATCAACCATTTGCATATTATTTTAAGGACATTCATCACCTTCTTCTCAGTAGCACTGTCCACGCTACTGAGCACAGCAACAGAACCTATACACCTGGCTGTTGCTCATCGCTTTGGCTTCCTGCCTCCTCTCTCAAATTTATTTGAGAAATATTTACCAAGTAGAATTGACAGGGTTGGTGATCAAATGGATATGAGATCTGATAAGTAGAAAAGGAAAAAAAACACACACACAATAGAGCAATAGAATAAATGTTGAGCATTCGAGAGATAGCAACATGGAGGTAAACATTGGAGTAGAGTTCAGATCTTTTTCTCCAGCTTCCTACTTAACTGAATATATTTTTTTTGTCAAAAACAACACAAACTCACTACAACCAAAATCAAACACATTATCTCTGTGTCCGATTTCTGATCTTGGAGTGCACTACATCTCAGAGTGGCAGTATCATCTATCTATCTCCCAAACCACTCTCTTTCTTTCTATTCTTTCTTTAACTATATCCTATCACAGTATCCTGTCAAGTTCATCTTCTAAATAGCTCTCAAATCATTGTCTTCATCTGAATTTGTAATGCATCTGCTGGCATCTGCTTTATCCTTTCTGTAATTTATTCCCTATACTGAAGGTACACTGATGTTTTCTATCTGAAAATCTGATTATGTCATCCTCTACCCATTTACATACAATTAGATTTCCTTCCTAGCACCTGTGACATTGCAAATTTGCTCTTATTTCTATGCAAATTTATATTTGATTATTCATTTTCTGACCCTAACAACTATAAGCTCCATAAGCACTTGCCACTCATTGTATTCCAAGCAGTTCGTATGATGCCTGGTATAGAGCCATTTATCACTATTTGTTTAATGACTAATTTAAAAAAGTAATTAATAGATGGACAAAAAAGATCTAGGTTTCTATTTTTTTTGTAACAAGAAATATAGTCAGTGATCTCATGGGTTTCAATGATTCGCTAAGGGAAAATGTGTATAGTAGTAGAGATGCAGGTCATCTGGAGGTATAAGATGAGAAGCCCAAGAAAGAGATTCAGTTAAAAAGCCAGAAGAAAGGTAGAAAAACTGTAAGATAACTATGTCATAGACACCAAGGTAGAAAATAAAACAGACTGATCTGCTATGTAAACACCTCAGAGTAGTCTGGAAAGAAATTAAAGATTATTGTTTCAAAATAATCCATTTAACCCCTTTAATTTCTAACTAGATTTTTCTTTAATTATCACATCTTGACCTCTAAGATTTTCCTTAGTCTCTATCAGATACATGAAATGCTCTCAAGATGTACATCTTCATTAAAGCATCCTCTATAATTCTACCATTCCTATTGCAATTATAGCTATATTACTATATTTGTATCCTATTTCTGGATATTAAATTATGTCCTAATCTCAGCCTCATTTAAATATTTAAGTTCTATAACTTTTCCATTAATATTTCTGGGAAAATGCATTTGTGATATTTCGTATATTCATTCAATGAGTTCAAGTCTCTGTCTTCTTTACATCTTTGTTTGCATTACTGTCATGTGCCTCTAATGTGAGTTGTTGGCTATTCTAAACCAGACCACTATAATGTGCTGGGGCAAGCACTTGTCATAAGCACACACTTTATAAATGCTTCACTGTGGTGGTAGTGTTAACTTCACAGCATGAGCAGTCAGAAAACTACATTACTTGCTCAGGAAACAATAAATCTACATACAAATGAGAATGAAATAATAAAATTACTCATTTTAGTTTAGCCTTTTAAGAATTTTTAAACCTGAAATACATGAGGCATGAGGTAGAAATATTTTCATACATGAATGGCTCACATTTAAAATAAAGCTAAATAGCTATATCACTAGGGAAAAAACATTCATTGTGCCTGTCATTTGAAGAACTATATGACAATCAAAAATATTTTAAAAAGTGTTTTTGTACATAAATTGCAAATAAATTTGAATGTTTTGTATAATTAAATGCTGGAAGATCATACTAATTTAAATATTAATATTATATTTCCTATACTGTCCATCCAGAGCTGAATTTAATTATTCTACTTTTATTTTGTTTTACTTTCTATCTTCATTATCTAAAATATAAACCTGCTAAGATCATGAACGCCACAGCACCCCCGGGCTCCCAATGCCTAGAACCATTCCAAGCTTGTGCAAGTGCACAAGAAATATGTTTTGAGTGACTGGAAAATGAATGAACGTTGAGCAAGAAAATATACATGTATATCATGTAAAAGGCTGTTTTAATTTATTTAAGATATAATAGTGGCTTGAATCAAGGTAAATAATGTTTAGGATGAAAAAAGTAAAATTATTTGACTTATACTTAAGAGAAGATAGTAGTTCATTCAACATGGGTGAGAGAAAGTAGAGTCTGTAACTGATATGCTTTTAATCTGAGTAAATGGGTGGTTAGTGCCGTAATTTGTCATCAAGGGAGATACCAATGGAAGAACAAGATAAAGAAGATGTGCTTGAAAAGAAGCCTATTCTGATTCAAATCACAGACTCTGGGTCTTTAAAGCTGTCTGTGCTTGCTGGTCCTACTATTTAATAATCATGGATCATTTTTTTCAATTCTATGGAATTCGATTTCCATCTTTACTGTGGGTAGAATTTGTTCTTGACAAATTTAAAGGAAAAAACAAAACAAAACAAACAAACAAACAAAAAACAACTCTACAGCCAAACACAATGGATGCTTTTCCAGTTCTTAACTTGTTTGACCACTGATAATCATTTGCTCCTCCTTGGGCGTCCTTAACCCATGTTCCTTTGATACCTTTTTCTCCTGCCTTTCCTCAAATCTCTCTAGCTGCTCTACTAACAGTCAGATAAATTCCAGACTTTTCTGCTGTGATTAATAAGGTTGGCAAAAATCTAGTCTCTGCCCATATTTCCATCCCCACCCTTTTAAAATCTCTGTCAGCCTACTTCCTACATGAAATTTTTCCTTATTTTAAATCAGGGTTAGTTCTATTCAATTAATTAAACATGGTATGATTTTTTTTTATCTCTCTGAAGTACACTGAGGGTTTTGTTTTCACGTGATATTTTCAGTGGACCTGATAGTGAATAAAACTCCAACATTTTTATTAAGAAAACATTGGTAGAATAGATCTCCTTATATATATATTTTTCTGTTCCTCTAAATTTTTCGTCACATTACTTCTGAATAATTTTCTGTAAGTCAGTCACCTACTACAGTTTTAGCATGAATATTTGCCTTTTCTATTAAATTTCATTTGGAACATGTTAAGACTTACAAAGACTGTTATCACAAATATCATATTAACAAAGTGTGAAAGTAAATCTTTATTCCCAATAATATTCACATACTCTATGTATTTGATATTGATATAGCACACATTTTAATAAACTAAATATATATTCTCCTTAAATCATTCAAAATAATAATAATAACACATGTTCTTCTATTACATGATTGCTATCACATCTGCCAAGTAGTACTAAAAGGCAGACTATGCTACTATATTCTAGGAGTCACATAAAATCAGGGGACAAAACTCAGGGTCAGTGGGTGATGCCACTTAAGACAGTGTAAGAAGAGGCTGGGCTTAAGAAAAGCAAGAGGCTTTACCTAGAGGTGGCATGGAGTTAGAGAACCATTCTGCCATGCATAGGCATTTTTCTCTGCAAAAAAATTGTATAGAATCCTTTTTTTTTTTTTTTAACCATTTGGCTACTTCTAGAGATGTAAATGAGAATTTTTAACATTCTAGATATATTCCTATAATAAATAATTAATAAAGAAGAACTATATTTTATATCCCATAGATTAAGACATTCAATATTACATTTTTAATATTAATTGTGTCTTTAGTGTATACATTTTAAGCTGTTGTGTGAAATGTACTTACACTCAGTTTTCCATTGCGATTGTCTTCCTCTCTCATGGCCAGGGCCATCAGAAAATTATCTTGTAGGTCTTTACCAGCACTTGTTAGAGTCCTGTAAAAAGCAGATCTTCAGTTATAATGTATTAGATAACAAATATGTTTCAAACACTCCGGGGCCAACAATAATGCTTTTTTATTCCAAGTGACAATTTCCTTGCAACATGAAAACCATATAAACACAATCATTATTATCTGCTAGAGTCCTCAATTTAATTTCATATAGTAATAGAGTATTTATAAATAGCTGGAATCAAGCCTTTAAATAACATATCCATATCAAGACACATACCATATATAATTTCATTTACATGCTCATTTTGTTCTTTTTTATAATACCAAGAAAAGTCACCATGTTCATACCCCTCACTTCCCACAAAATTTTTAACTGCCTATAATTTATGTATAATTTATTAATTTAAGGAAATTAAAATACTAGACACCTATGCTAATACAGTTACTGGAGTAGAGCATTAATTTTAGCCCTAGAAGTAGAGATAATCAAGGCAAGAAAGGAAACTAGGTTAACTTATCTTTGGCAGATGAAAGAAAGCATCAAGAATTCAAGAGAGAAATAACGTTCTCTGGAAATATATTTTAAAAGACGTATATCACAAAGATCTCAATCAAGCACAACTGAACCACATAATTAATAAGTTTAAGAGTGATTTGTAAAATAATAACCCTTTCTTTATACAGCAATTTCCTACATATTCCACAGATTTTTTCATTATGTGTCTGCTATGTACCAGGAACTGTATCTGGGCACAATGATGCACAAGGCATAGTTCCAGCTCTCAAGTTGTGTATGGTCTCATAGAGGTAAACAGATATATAAACATAATGTCATACCATGTGATAACTGGAATAATAGAGATACAGACAGAGTAACAAAGGGGTTAATAAGAGAAGGTATCTTATTCAAGGCAAAGTCACTTAATCTGAAATGTAAGAGCAATTATTCTTGAATTTAATGTTAAAACTTGAGATAGCATTAGCTAGTTTGAGGGGTGGAAGGAGAGAGTTATAAGTAACTAGAAAGGAAAGAAGGAATGCAGATTTAAAGTTGCAAGGCAATCCGGTAATAGCAAAGCAGTCAGAGAGTAAACACAGGAAGTGAGGGGGAAACCAGATAATATTATTAGAAGTTAAGATTTTAGTCAACACACTGTTATAAATATTTACTACGTTCAGATAGAAGAGTCTGGTTTTAGAATTCATTTTTACAATCCCTTTCAGGGAAGGCTTGTATGCTACTTAAGGAGCTTGGACCTTGTAATACTACCAGAAAGCATTGAACTAAAAGAGTCTAATGCAAGCAAATAAAATAGTCAAATCTGTGTTCCAGAAAGAGTATTCAGAACTATGAGAAAGGCAGCCTGAAGGAGAGCAACACTGCAGGGATTAAGAGACTATCACAAACCTTCAGAAAGAGATGATGAATATCTGATTTAAAGAAGTGATGGTAAGGATAGGAAGGAAAGGATAGATTTAGGAAATATTGAAGAGATAAAATGGACCTAGTGATTGATTTTTGTGAAGAGTTAAGGAGAGATTACTACTAGGTTAAATCATTGCAACCTTTGTTTATGTTGCTTATCTAGAAATGCAGCTCTTTAAATTCATCATAACTTATCTGCTTTTGCTTTCTAGCTTTATGTTCCTCAGCTTGTTTTATATACATACATATATATATAAAATGTTTACATAATATGTACATTATATGTTATATTATATATTATATTATATATAGTATATGTATATTATATATAATATATTATACACATAATATATATAACATATATATCACTTAATAATCAAAAAACCTTAATAAACATGTAAAATAACTACTAATTAGTACCAAAGAAGAGGTCAGATATTTGAAAATTTCTTTAATCCATTGTTCTGTCCACAAGTGAGTATTCCATGTTAAAATATGTATTATGTACTGCTTTAATATTAAATTTAATATTAAATGTCTAAAACAGAAAAGTAATTTTGTCAGTTGCTTGTTTAGAAAAAAAACTACCTGTTTTCTACTGCTCACAGCATAAGCTTCTAATCACTTGTTCAGTTTCCACCTAATTTCCTGCTTATGGTCTGTTTTAAAACCACATTCTGTTGTAAATTCTCTGTGAAATTTGAATAGAGAATTCATTTTACAAGTACCTCAATCAACAGTGGTCAGGTTATACTACAGTAACCAATGGTCCAAATCTCAGTGGTTTGCAATTGCAAGAGATTACTTTTCAATAAAAATATGCATTGATAGCCGGTTTACTGTGGCTCTTCATCTTGAGGGAATGAGACACTGATGAAACATCCTCTCTCGGAACCATCTTTGGTTATTGTGCAGAGGGAAAAAAAGAGAACATAGCCACACAATGCCTCTTAGAACTTCTGCTTAAAAGTAACACATATCACTTCTACTCATATTTCCTTGGCCAAAGCACTTGCTTTGGCCAACCCTGAACTCAATGGGGTGAGAAAATATAATCCTGTCCAGGCATTTGTAGCACATATTTGTGAATGGTAGCTCAGACACTCATGGCTTCCTATACCATAAACAACAGAGGTTGAGACTAGATTGCTCAGTATATAAGAGCAGTAAATAAAACAATTTTTGAACAAATTATGATAGTACAGAACATTTGTTAGCATGGTTCACTGTAATGTAACCAAGTAAAGGTTCTTTTGATAATTAAAATCACTAATCCTAGCTCCAAAACCAAACTTGCCCTAAATACTCACAGAGCATCCTATAAATTGTAGTTGAAGGAAGGAACTATTAATAGAATTAGCGTTCTGTGATAGTTATAGACATCTATTGCTTTTGCCTCCTAATATTCTTTCTCCCTTTTTATTGGCAACACGACCCTAACTTTTACTTGGGCAACTGTCTTTTCCACATTCTTTGCCTTAGTAGAATCAAGGTACCCACTTACAGCTCCTACCTCCCAAACCTTAGCTAGTGAATACACCTCAAGCTTTGCCAATGTCATTTTACCTCATAGGTAAATCTTTAACAGAGACAAAAGAATGAAAGGCAGCTGGAGTTATAGTGGTACCCTTACTTCCTACTACATAGTTTATTCAATTTTATGTTTGAATCTATGATAATCAGTGCTCTTCCAATAAATTCCCTTTTTTATTTCATTCATTAGAGTTGGTTTCTATTGCTTACAATAAAAACCTATAATTGATACAATGGCTATACAGTTAGGATACATCAGAATTCCTATGAGTTTCCACAAACTATATCTACTTCCTTCTCCTGCTACCTTCCCAAGCATATCTTGTTTTGTTGTAAATTTTTAGAACTTCAGAGATAAAGTTCAATGTGATCATCAACCCTGATCACATAACACAAAAGGTAACAATCATTAGAAGTTTTGCCTGTAGCCTTTAAGGCTTTTTAAAATTATATAAAGATATATATTTGTGTACTAATAAAAACATATATAGTATTATGTGGTCAGTTGTTCATTTCATTACATATTTTGCAATTTACTGTTTTATTGCTGTTGTTACAACTATTCCTGGAAGTTGATGTTTATGAGAGTTCCAAGAAAATAAAAATTATCCCTGATATATCAGATATGAAATGCCGGAAGAATAGATTTTTAGACATCATTCGCTAATAAGGATGGAAATCCTAATATTTTGCTATGCGTGACTCTCTTGCTAATGGCTGAGGTTTTCAGCAGATGTCTAGGCTGGACAGGAAAATAAAGTAATAGGCAATAGAATTCTTGCTGTCCCTGGACACTTACCAGGGCAGACACTCTTCCCCCTTCTTCCATAAAAATGAAAGCTTCAATTTTCACTTGGGCACATAGCAGCCTGGAATTGAGACCACATTTCTTAGCTCTTTGCAGCTAGTTATGTTCGTGTCACTAACTTTTGCACATTAAGAGCCAAGTGAAAATGATTTGTGATTTCTAGGGAGTGTACTTAAAGTAGAGGCAGGTACTTTTTTTCCGGTAGCTAGAATGCAATATAATAACTTGAAACTCCAACTGCCATCTTGGACATAAATTGTAGGCCACTATTATGGAGAAACAAAGAGAGGAGCAGGGTCCACAATACTTGAGAATACCAGCACAGCCTTGAGTGACACCAGCTGGACTTCTTGAATATGAGACTGAAAAGAATTTCTATTTGATTTCAGCTACTGTCATTTTGGTGTTTTCTTTTTCTTTTTCTTTTTTTTTTAACCAACCTAATTCAAAAAGATACTTGATCATTTGAAATTTGTTCACTTTTCTGAAAAAGATGCTCTTGTGGGATTGGCTTGGTTATCAAATTGGAATTTAACCTTAGGTGAAATATTCTAAGAATTTCCCAGGAGACCATATTACTTACCTAATTAAAATGAATTTTCTAAAACAGGTTAAGTCTTAGGTTAAGTCTATTAAATAATAGCACAAGATAATGAAAATTAAACTAAAATATAAGATGGAATATCAGTCTTTTAATTCCTATTCATTTACCAACTGATTAGTCCAAACAACCACATTTTTCTGAATCTGGATTTCATGATGAGCTAAATAATACCTAGGCCCAATAGGAGATGTAAAACTTGTGGTCTAAAGCAATCATGCTGTATCATTTATTACTAAATATCATTAAAATATAATTAGTCCAAGAAAAAGACTATTATCCTGACAAGATCCTAAGTTCATACTATTCTTCTTTCATTACTATGCAAGTCTCACATACATAGATTTACATCATTTCTTATAAACTCAGTGAAGAAGATAGAAGTATTATCCAAATTTGGAACAGAGAGGGTAAAGATTTTTGGCTCCAAAGCTATGTGAAGCAGAGAAAAAATGTTACATAGTAATCACTCTTACATCATGCTACAGTTGAGAACCCGAAACTTCTCAGCAAAGGAAATATTGGAAAAGAATGAAAGTTAATGCAGTGTGAGGTAAGGAATTCTTAAATCTTTAACATGCATTACTCTTATTTAACTAGGTTTATTTAACAGTAAGTGACCTAAGAAAGCTTGCTTAAGTAAATATTACAAAAACAGTTACTTCCTCAAGA